GGTAAAATGATTTTCGTGTTGAGGGTATCATTTTGATGTCTATTATTGAGTTTAAGTCACAGTTTTGAGGTTGTTCTCAAAATCCGACCAAACCCCTAAACTTGCAACGTTGAATATTCGATCTTAGCTCATTTATTCTTGTTTTCGATTATTTTCTTTATCAAAAATCGAATGGAAAGTTATCGAGATCATTTTGCAATAAAAATCCCCTGATTTGGATGTCAAATGATTACTTTCCAAATTGGAGAGGTGGCCAAAAAATGAGATTCCTGCCACCAAAAAATATGTTTTTTTTAAAGCCTTAATAGAGTACCTTATCAATCTACATTTCAATCAAATGAGTACTCAAAACGAAGGCTCTGAGCTGCGATTGCAACGAACCTAGTCTTGAGGTTGTGGGAGTCCAGAATATTAAGATATAGGTGCTAGAGTGAGTAGATATACTACTAAAGTTTCCTGCATTTTCTTGGTTTTTACCAAATTTCTCTCTAGAATTTCTCCCTTTTTCTAGGCTCTCATGAAGTGTGTGACCTACTGAATCCTAGAACTCGGTTAGGTGAACAACATTCCCAAATTTGGGATTCATTTACTTTACGACGAGGGAGATTCAAGCTTTCAATGTTTTACCTTTTTGCAAAAACACAGTTATTATAAATAGTAATTGGTTTAAATGGATCAAGTGAATAGTAAAAATGTTACTATTTTTCGAAAGTACAACCTAGTAAGATCGGATTGAGCTAAAATTCAGCATGGTGACTACTCTCGGTCTCTCAAATCTATTGGTGTTGGTCACATGGCCATTGGAAGTCTCTAAGGTAGAGTTCCAGCTATGGTGTACCATATCATGCTTGAAATTTATCATTTTTAGCAGGTATGACCTAGGGAGATTGGATTAGGCTGAAACTTGGTACAATAACTGCTCGCGACCTCTTAAATCCATTGGCGGTGGTGGTCCCATAGGCCTTGGTGGTCTCTAGGATAGAGTTTCAGCTATGGTGCACCATACCTGCTTGTTCCATATACATCTGAATTGACCAAAATTTGGAGGGGATTCTTGAATCATTATTGGGAGACTCATTTGCTTAATTTGGAGGTGAAATGGTATTGCAATTAAGGCTCTCAAGAATAAGGTTTATTTAGTCAGGGTTTCCGTAGTCCTTAAGCATTTTTGGTACCTAGGGGTCTTGGTCACCGCTGGGTTCTCCATTATTCACACCAGGAATTCAAGCATGTCAAAAATATCCTACAACACGAACAATACCTTCCTTGTTCTCTATCTTGAGCCATGGTCACTCTATGATTTTTTTTTTGAGAAATTTACACATATATCTCATTTAAAATTGGGAAAATTATAGATACCCCCTCAAATCAACTTTCTACACATCTTATCCCCAATACTTGTATTATATCCAAAATCCCTGCACAATTTTTCCTTGTATTTATTCCCAATCAATTAGGCAATACATTTTGGGACTAAATTTCCCTTTTTCTCTCCCTAACCCTTTTCAATTTATTATTTTATATTTCTCTCTCCTTCCCTTTTTTCTCTCTTTTTCCATTTAGTCATGTGATACTTGCTTTCTCCCTTTCTCTCTCTACTTTCCCTCTCTTACTTTCTTGCTCTACCTCTCTCCACTTATCCTCTCTACTTCTCTCTCTTTCTTGCTTTATTTCTCTACTGTCCCTCACACTTTCTCTCTAGCTCTCTCCACATGTCCTCTCTCTTTACCTCTACCCATTTCTCTCTCCATCTCTCTTTCTCTCTCTATCCTCCCTCATTCTCTCTTTACCCTCCCTCCCTCTCTCTTTCTATCTCTCTTTCTCTCTATTTTTTTATGTGGTCCGACACACTCTTTGACATACCTTTTTTTATTTAATTGTGGTACGGCACAAAAAGTGCCGGACAACAACATCATTTCAGTCCGACAAGGAGTGTGCCTTCTTCCAATAAATTCTCCCCTTCTAACACACTTTTTTCCATATTAAATTTTGTTTTTGCAGTTCAAGACAAAAAAGTGCCAGACCCGCAAGAAGTGCACCGGACAGCACAAAATTGTTTTTTGGTTTGGTGCAATCCTAAGTAACTTTATCTGCTCAAATATGTATATAGCATTTTTTTCCTTAGCAACCATTACCTACTAATAACTCCTCTGCAAACCCGCTTTCGTAGCCATAGAATGTATCTCAACTCCCCAGTTGATGGATTTTAATGTAAAGCAAGCATTCAAAGAACATAGTACTGTGATCCGATTAGGCTTGATTCCTCCAAACCTCCTCTCTAATTAGATGAAAAGCTTGGTTTTCTCTTTCATTCTGAGACAACCCTGAGATCATCGAAGTCCAGGTGAGTATATCAGGTTTCATGCTAGAAAACTTCATTCTTTCCAATAAATCAAGGGCTAAATCACAGTTTCCCAATTGATTATGATCTCAGATCAGAATGTTAAAGGTGACTATGCCTTTTTCTATTCCTTCGATTTGCATTTTTCAAAGAGATTGATGGCTTCTTCATTATTACCATTTTTAAAAAACCCAGAGATCTCATTTAGGGCAGAGAGAGAGAGTGCGGGAGAAAGAGAGAGTTCAACTAGAGAGAGAGAGTTTTTGGGTAAGTAGAGAGAGATAGAGAGAGTTTGGACGAGATAAAGTTTCTTTTTTGGGACAATTATAAAAAACCTCCCAATACACACTATCTATGTAACTTACCCCCATCCAACATTTTTCTCTCACTTTTTTCCCCACAACAACCTTTCTTTGCAAAAAACCCCCCAATCCAAAAGGAATAAGAAAAAAGACTAAACTACCTTTTTTTCACACGCCCTTCTCTCTACTGTTTCCCATTTTTTAATTTACCCAATGCCCTCTGGCAGTACAAAGATGAGCTTCGACAGTACAAATTCTGGAGACGACGTTCTTCTGCAGTCTTAAAGAACGCTTCAGCAATATATGCTCTGGAGCAATAGTGCTTTGGTAGTGTAATGGGGCGCTCCGGCAGTGTATTCAGTGCTCTGACAGTATATGAACGCACTCTAGTTGTACACCATCTGAAGGCATTTTGCTCCGACAGTATACAAAGGCACTCCGACAATAGAGGCTCTGACAACGCTCTGGTAGTGTAATGGCACACTCCGGCAGCGTATTCAATGCTCCGACAGTTTATGAACGCGCTCCAGCAATGGGTACAACGATCCGACAATCCTTACAAAGCGCTTCGGCCCTCAATACATACGCGCTCTGGCAGTATGCTCTAGACAATTCCCTCAGGGAGTTGTACACTGCGCTCCGGCAATATGTTACTTGGAATCGATAGTCAGCGCCAATTGACTTTTTTTGTACGGGGTGGGCACTTCCATCCAAAAAATAATAACGTTTTACCTTGGGGGGTTTTTGTGAAGAAAGGTTGTTGTGGGGAAAAAAGTGAGAGAAAAGGTTTGGATGGGGGTAAGTTGCATAGATAGTGTATATTGGGGGGTTTTTTTATAATTTTCCCTTTTTCTTTTGGGTAAGCAGGGACAGAAAGAAAGAGTGCGAATGAGAGAGTGAGCTAGAGTTTTTTGGCTAAGTAGAGAAAGTGAGTTTGAGAGAGAAATATAAATTAATATAGTATATTGAAATGGGGAAGAGAGAGAAAAGAGCAATTTTTTTCTAAATTCGTTGACTATTTGACTGCGGGGTAAATACAAAAAAAAATAGTGTTAGGCTTTAGGATATAATACAAAAAGTATTGAGGGTAGGATGTATAGAAAATTGGATGTATAATACAACGAGTAACATGTTTAGTAATTTTTTTATATAACACAACAAGTAACATGTATAGAAAATTGGATGTATAATACAACAAGTACTTTTTTTTTATATTGGGGGTAGGATGTATAAAAAATTGGATCTAAACAAAAAAATTGAAAAATAAAAATTCACAAAATAAGAAATTTATTAGTAATATGTTTTTTTATATTATTTATCATTTTGACAAAGATTAAAAAGTGTTTTGGATATGAATACTTTTCTATTTTCCCTTCTTTTTAGATCATTTCTAATATACCCCATCACATATTGTTTTTCTAAACATCCATTTTATCAATGTTTTTTAACCTAATTTAGATGTGTTTTGTTTAATTTTACTATAGAGATATTTTCCTTTTTTTGGGTTTTTTTAGTATTTTTTAATTTTTAACACCTATTAGCCTTGGTCACAACTCTGCCAAACTCAAGGCAAGTTACTCGGACTACGGCCAAGTACTTGGCTCGGCCTTGGCCGAGCACCCAGCGAGTGGCTCTTTCCTATACTGCATTAGATAACTCAGAGGAGAATTGTTTCATGCCAGCTAAACCGCATTTCTACAATATGCGGTCAAGAGGTATAAAACATGCATCTTAAAGATGGATACAAATAGGTGGTCCATCTAAAAACAAGTGTAACTAACAGTCCAAATATATTTTTAATATAATTATTATTTCTATTTTTCAAATTTTTTTTTTCATATTTATGATCTTTATGTTGAAGATTATATATTCTTTAAAAATTAAGATCAAATTATTTATTGCCAAGCCCTCGTTGCTACAACAGGTTCGCTGGCCGCATAGAGACTGTATCATAACTAAAATCACCCATCTGTAATGAATTTAACGACTAGAACCTTAGTCACAAAAGGTGGTTGATTTTACAAGTACAAGCAACCCTCGTTCTTCCATAGTCAAAAAAAAAAAACAAATACAACTCCCTGGATTTACAAACAAGAAGAGGTCCACCACTTCGACGTATTCAACCAATGATATTTTTTTTAGACGTATGAGCAGCCCGCGTTTTTCCATAGTAAAAAAAGAAGACAAATACAACTCCCTGCATTTACAAACAAGAAGAGGTCCACCACTTCGACATATTCAACCAGTGATTATTTAACACCCCAACCCAGTCTCACATTTTTGCCTTACATACCTGTATCTATATATATATTCAACCCCACTCAAACCTTTGCAAACAACACATACAAACCAGACAGCTCTCTCTCACACAAAGAAGGCATACAAACCAGCCATCTCTCTCTATAAAAGAAGATGGTGGCTTCCAATTTTCTCTTGCCCATTCTGGCACTATGCCTCACCATGCGTCTCCAGGGCACCATAAGCGCCGACCCACTGTCTCACATCTGTTCACCCACCTCAACAAACTACACAACTCACCCCCCACTTGACCATGCCTTAAGCTCCCTCCTCAGAACCCTATCAGCCAAAACTGCCATCACTGGCTTTGCCACTGCGTCCTCCCCTGACCGCAAATACCATGGCCTCGGTCTCTGTCGTGCAGACGTGACACGCTATGATTGTAAAGTGTGCATGGAAGATGCAACCGCTGAAATTCGTCACCTCTGTCCGAACAAAGAAGAAGCAATTGTTTGGTTCGATTACTGTCTCGTACATTATTCGAACAAAAGTTTCTTCGGTAAAATTGATGAGAAGAATAAGATATATATGTGGAACACTCTCAATGTTTCTGCGCCCCATCTGTTTAACCGTTATCTTGGAGAGCTCATGTATCAGTTTTCTTCTCAAGCTTCTCTCTCTCTTTCTTTTTTCGCAACCGGAGAAATCCAATTGAGTGAAGTAGGCGACAAGACGACGATATATGGATTGGCTCAGTGCAGTTATGATCTCAGCAGTGGGGATTGCAAGGCCTGTTTGGATGAAGTGATTGGGGAACTGCCCACTCGTTGTAGTGGGAAACAGGGAGGAAGGGTTTTAACAGGGAGTTGTAACATTAGGTACGAGGTGTACCCATTTTACCGAACCTAGGATCCTGCTTCTTTTTTTCTCATTCTCCCTCTTCCCTTCTATTTGGGCGAAGAAGACGACGCCAGTGCATTAAGTCTACATTTTTTGGATGAATGTTTGCTTGTTTATTCGGTTCTAATGCTCATTATGTTTATTTATTAGTTTTTGGTCAAACGTTGATTTGGTTAGTTCATGTGTTTTTTCGATTAAATATTGAAAGTTTACAATAGCCGACTCTTCTATATTATTAAAGAGTAACCATCCTATGAGCCCCTCACACACGTGGGCTGCATAGGACTCCCTTCTATTACCGTCAAATCTCTTTCAATATTTCGATGACATTTGGGTGTGCCACTTCACCTGTTAATGAAGTAAGAAATCACTTGGAGAGAGAGAGAAAGAGAGGTGGGTCCAAATATTGCAGGCATGTACAATTCTTAGTCTCCTTCGTGACCACTATTCTCAGCCTCCTTATTGACCACATCAAGCATAGGCATCAATGAGTAATGAAAACGCATTGCCACCTCATTGTCAATCGATTCTACCACGATTTTCATGTTGGTGGTTTTTATTTTTGAGGGGTTAACATATGTCACGGCATATGATAGACTTTTATGGGATATAACTGCTGCTCCCTCTTTCTATAAATTATTTGTTTTGAGTCTTGTACTTATCTATGACAAAATAAAAGATATAGTGTTCACTGTGGATGTAGGCCATTGCCAAACCACGTAAATTTTGTCTCTTTGCAGTTTTCTATTTTTTTAATATGGTATCAGAGTAAGATTAAGGTTTTTGTTTTTGGGGGCTTGCCTGCTCCTTTGCCACGTCTTCTGTTTTTGGGGGTGACTTCGTCTCTCTTCTGTGCCTTCTCTGGTTTTTGAAGGCTCGCCACCATCATTTGTATGGGTATGCACCCTATAGGAGGAATGCTTGCTACAGTAAACTTTCGACCACCTGCTTCATGAAGCCTCTGGATAGAAGACAGGAGATTTCCATGTCAAACTCTGCACCAGCTTTCTGATAGACTTAGGTGAGGCCACATTTCTCCGCACTTCCCATAGTAGTGCCTATTAACGTGATTCGCCATGAATGTCCCAGCTCCGCACTCTTGGTTAGAGCACTCCTTTCTGATCTTTTGAACCTTTCCAGAGTCATCGACCTTATAAAAGGGTCGAATAGGGAGCTTCACCTTCTTCTTCTTGTGCCTAATCTTCTTGGGTTTGGTGTAAGCCTTCTTCTAATAATATTCAGGCTAAGTCTTGCTCTTTTCTCTATCTGTCCATAAATCCTTTACGCTCTCTCCCTCTCTCTCTAAATCTTCGTCAGTCTTTTTCTTCCTCTTCTTTGCTGTCCCCTCTCTTCTTTGGTTGGGGGAATCGTTTTTTGGTTTTTTTGTGGGCTTGTCCAATATTGATCGCACGGATCCATCACTGGCCTTGATGTCGAAAACTATCACGGGAAATATTCTAGAGAGAGAGAGAGGAGTATTAGAAGTCAATCAAGTAGTCCTGCAACTTGAAGTCAATCTTGCAGAGGAGGCAAGGGCTGGACTTTCTCTCTCTACCCTTCTGTGAAGTCCGTGATAGCCTCTGTGATGTCCCTCATTATCAAGTAAGTTTTTTCTTACTCTTTTACAAAAGGTGAAGAGGTGGTCCTTAAAACCATATTATTTCAAGGAGGCTGTATCTTCCATCGACTGTCAGCTTCCTTCCTTTTGGAATCGGTCTTCTTGTTTTTTTTTGGTTCAGTAATTGTCTTTTGGGGTCAAGTATTTTCATCGTGGAAGATATTGTGAATATGACTAAGAATCCTGAACTTAAGACTATTATCCATGAAAAAGAGTTCAATACTAGTGATAAATTAATTAGTATCCCTTTGAACAGACTCAATTATTTAAGTTGGTCAAAAGCTGTCTCGCTCTCTTTGAGCAGGTGATCCAAGTTAGGACACATCAATGAAAAGTAAATAGCTCATGCTATTGATGACCTCCTATATGAAGATTGGCAATCTAATGACCACAAGGTCATGTCTTGGATTTTAGATTCCATTGAACCAAAGGTGGCCGAGATCCTTACTTCGGCAGATACTGTTAAAGAAATGTGGGATTCGGTAAAAGAAATGTATGGGAAAGAAAATAGCCTTTCTCGTGTTTATGAGTTAAAGCAAGAAATTTCTAAAATCAAACTAGGAGATAAAACTACTACTGAATATCTTGCTCTATTCAAAACATTATGGGATCATTTTACTTCTTATTCACGCATAACAGCTGATTTGAAGACCATTCAAAAGCGTGTTGAACAAGGAAATTTTTTTTTATTCCTTGCTGGTTTCTAACGTGAGTTTGAGAAACTTAGATGTCAGATTTTGATGGCTACTAAACTCCCAACATGTACAAATGTTTGTTCTACTATTCATAGTGAAGAAACCCGAAAAACGTTTATGATTGTTGTAATAAATTTTGAATCTGAAATAAGTGAAAAATCAATTTTTGTTGCTGCTAAGGAGGTTACTAAGAAGAAAAATGATAATATGTTTCAAAAAATAGGATGTGGTGGAGCTAGGGGTCGTGGTAATAGACCTCCTCTACGTTGTGATCATTGTAAAGGAATTGGTCATCTGGCTCATAGTGGTTAGGTGCCTCGATCTCGGTCGCCGGATCTAGATGATCGGGTGGCACACGTCTCAGGTTTTAGGGGTGACCCGAGACTTTGAGATCACTCTCTTGGGAACCTCGCTCGAAAAAAAGGGCAAGTATTACCAACCGATGAGAGAGGAATTTAAAGTGGGTTCGGGACTTACTCGGGTTGGCTCGTGTGGGCACCCTCTTAGATCACGAAGAAAGCTCGTCAGTAATAAAACTGGTTCGAAATTGTCTCCCTTGACTTATATGCTCCTATTTTCTGCAATCATGCATATATCGCAAATGTTATATGACAGGTGGGTCAATGGACCTCACCTGGCCTTTTGGGTGAACATACGTAAGCGTGCACATTGAAAGCAAGAAGGAAAAAATGAAAAAGGAAAGATGGGGGGAAGAAGAATACGACCAAGCGGGGGAATCAACACAGTGACTAAGCTGGTTGATAGTTGGCCTGACATGATAGTAAAACGGGCTCGATAACTCAGATCGGCTCAATAGGGTTACTACTAGACGTCAATACCGATATGGACTAGCTAGGCACCATGGTTAGTCTGTTGTGGCGATAAAGCGGGTGTAGTACTTTTGACGCAACAACATTATGGCTTGAAAACAAGACTACCATAAGAAGCTAATCTCAACCCTTCTTAATCAAACGAAAGGATAACATAAAGAATGATAATCATAAGGAGAGAGTAAGAAGTAATAGAATAAGAAAGAGAAGAGAGAAAGGAAAAGAAAGAAAGAAGGAGAAGAGTGTGAGAGAAGAGAGAAGGAAGGAGAAAAGAGGGTGAGAGACACAGTCGGCGCTAGGCATCACCGGTTATGTTGGAAGAGGAAGAGAGGGAAAGACACAGTCGGCACTAGACATCGCCAACTGGGATGGAAAGAGAAGAGAGAAACTGGCACAGTCGTCGCTAGGCTTCGTTAGCTGTGTTTAAGAAGTGACGAGAGAGAAGGCACAATCAGCACTCGGCATCGCTGGCTGGGTTGGAAGGAGAAGAGAGAAAAGGTACAAAGTCAACGCTGGGCTTCATCGACTGTGTTTAAGAAGAGATGAGAGAGAAAACACAGTCGGCACTGAGAATCATTGGCTGTACTAGTCAAAGAAGAGAGAGAAGATGAAGTCAGCATTAAGCATCACCGATTGGTTTAGACAGAGAAGATACAATCGGCGTTAGGCTTCGTCGACTATTTTAGACAGAAAAGAGAGAGAAGATACAGTCGGCGCTAGGCTTCACCGGCTGGGTTGAATAAAGAAGACCGAGAAGATGCAGTCGGTGCTAGGCTTCACCGACTGGGTTGGACAAATACGAGAGAGAAAATGCGGTCAGCGCCAGGCTTTGCCGACTGTGCCAGAAGATGAGAAAGAGAGAAAGAGGAGAGGGAAAGTGAGATAGACATGAGAGAAGAGAGAGATAAAGATGAGAAGAAGAGAGAGAAAGAGAGATAGAGATGAGAAAGAGGAGTGAAAAAGGGAGAGATAGAGATGAGAAGAAGAGAGAAAGTGAGATAGAGGTGAGCAAAAGAGGGAGAAAAGAGAAAAGAGGGGAGGAGAGAGAAAGAAGGGAGGAGAGAGAAAGGGGGAGGAGAGAAAGAAAGGAGGAGAGAGAAAGAGGGGAGGAGAGAGAAAGAGGGAAGGAGAGAAAATTATCTTATAAAACGGTACCGACTCTTTTCTCCTCTTTCCTCTCTCTCTCTCCAAGATGCACCCACAAGCTTAAGCAAAAATGAGGCCTTTATTGAATCTTTAAGAATGAACCCAAGGGGTATTGTGTTCATGTTTACATTTTGGCTTTGCATGTTTACATAGAATTAGGATAAAACATGGGTGTACGCCCCAAAAACTGCCTAGAATTGAAGATGATTACAATTTAATTTTATTAAAAGAAATTATAAAAATGGGTGCAAAAGGATTGTTTTGCCTTTGCGTAACAATGGAATTTCAGAACAGTCCCTGCTGCTACTCGAGAACTTGCGTGATCTTTCGTGACTGATCTTGGGTTGTTCTGATGCCCGTTTGATCGAAAGATGACTATTTTCTTATAGGACTCGGCATGGCGATCAGTTTGATACCAATTTCGAGCCATGGATCGTGTTTTTAAGCATGACCACGAGACTTGAATTTGGGATGAATCTTGAAAACTTTGAATCGATTGTGTGCTCGTTCCTTGATGTTTCTTCGTGATTTCTTCACTGAATCACATTGAGCATGTCGTCAAGATCACGTTGCCACAAGCGTGGCTATATTTCGTGTCCAGATGAAGATTTTGTTATCTTGCATTTTTTGCCGAAATCTTGAAATCCGATGTCCGAAATTTATAGTAGCTTCGACGCCTTCATGCTTAAAATCCAACCATTCATTGTACGTGGGGTTCGGACCGAAGATAGCCATGGACCTTACGCATATAATGCAATGGTTTCATGTCGATCGGGTACGCGAGCGTCGTGATTTTGTCGCCAGAGTGGGGTGCGCTGCTGATAAATTTTCTGCAACATTTCTTCATACATCGGCAACATTCCTCTAGTTTTTCTCCCTGCTCGGGCGTCGTCATGGGGCGTTCCACATATCGAATCGCTTGTCTTGACGAGACAAACATGCTCACAAAATTTGGGAGCGATCCGAATCCGAACAAGTGAGATATGGACCGGGAATGTCACTACCCATGACTGTAAAAAAAAACTTTTTTAATGGTGTTTTGGTGTAAGCTGGTCACACTGGTATAGTGTGCAACACACCCCTTTTCGATATTTTACTTATAACTTTGTCTTGGAGTGCTCGATTAAGCCGAAACTTGACCCATAAGGGTTTTCGACCTTGTCATTGTTTGCTGCTACACCAGGTTTGCTTTTGACAAGCAAGGTACCTCTGTGGGTCCCATCCTGCTGGGCCCAATCGGGGGCATTTTGTTAGCTGGTCTCGAAAGTCTGGGCCTGCTCAAAGTCAGGCTCAAGGGGTCACTGGGGTTTCTTTGGTTTTGACCTTTTGTAACTGTCAAGAATTTTGCTTTCTGAGCCAGCGTCTTTTTCAACTACTTCCGTTATGTATTGGTTACATTGGATCTGTCGCGTTCACTGTCAAGAGCCTCGAAGTCGAGACATATCATGGTTGTACATGTAGGAGACATAGAAGAGGGAGGATAAGAAGCAGGAGAAGAAGAAGGAGAAGGGTTAGAAGGTGGGGGATTTTTAAGGTCGTTCCCCTCATCGGACCGATCTAGGCTTTTTTTTATGTCATCGCCATGGTTGAATGAGTACAGGGGGTCTTTTAGGTCTTTCCTTTACCAAGACCGTTGGGAAGTGCTTTTAACATTGTCACCCTCATTGGACGTGCTCTAAGGGTCTTTTAGGTCTTTCCCTTGCTTAGACCGTTGGGGAGTGCTTTTAACATCATCACCCTCATTGGTCGTGTTTTAAGTGGAAGATGTTGATGCAGAAACATCCTCTTGATGAGAAGGAAGGAGGATCGTGCCACGGATAAAGTCCAGTAACGTTGGCGGTGGGGGAAGTGGCCTGAGAAATTCCTGCTCAACTGAGGGTTGAGACGTCTTGTGTCTTCAGCGAGCATCCTTTAGTGCCCATCTCCTTTTGGTTTTATGAGGTGGTACATGATTTACATCACTACGCTTGTAAATAACCTTAGCTTAGCGAACTACTTCTCGCCTCAAGGACTTGAGTCTGCTTCGCCCATGGTGGACTATCCATGGATGGGAAGTCAAGGGTTCAGTAGAGTCTGAATCAATGTTAGGAATGTCTTGTGTTGGGAGGCCCTCCTCTTGCACTAATGGAACAGTGGCTTGAGGATCACTTACTGGAACGTTGTAAAACTCTTGTCATTCCCGCATTTTCTTTGTGAATATGTCATGAAAACTGGGGCATTACCACAGGTAATGACCTCTTATTTGGTGATACAGGCACCAACGGTCCTCAGTCCCCTGAACAAGGCATCGGGTTGCCTTGCTGGCTG